ATTCAACAAATGTAACAACCCTAAGCAGAACACATTTAATCAACGTTCACGCGCCCCCACTGGAACGGAATAGAGTCTTGTCCTTTCAACTTCTACAATAATAATTTAATATGTTCGATAATGAGATAATTTGCCTAATGATGCACATGAATTGAAACCATTTATATTATTGATAGAAAAGAAAAAAAAGTATATTCCGGGACTGCGAATGCCTAATAGGCCAGGAAATATAGAGTTGGACGCGACATTTTCTTTCGGCAAGCTGAATTTATCACTATAGATACTAAATATTATGTACAATAACATATTAGTTTCCACAGTCATAAAAATGGGGGAGGGAAGATTGTTTATTGTATAATTTTTACGTAAATTCACGTTTTTCGCTTATAACTTTTTTCCGTTCATTTCCAAAATCTAAAATAAATATCACCCTGTAGATTATTTCTCAAAAAGTGTGCCAAAATTTTCTTAAAAAAATGTGCGAACAAAATGACAATCGAAACAATTTCTTAAATTCACATGACTTTTTTCTTATTTTTAGTCAATACGAGTTTGTCCGTGGAGTATTTTACACCGTGTATAACTGATATTCAACAAATTAAATGAATTTTTTAATGGTTTATCCTAATGAAGATTTGTAAGTTACCGAGCAAATTAAATATTATCTATCACCTAGAACAATTAATGACGAAAATATTTAATTCCGACCGCATGCATCTAGCTCGGGCGTAATTACCGTGCTTTCCTTGGCAATCCAATTCCATTTAATGATTTCCTCTAAGCAAATGTCGAAAGGAATATGAGGCTCCCCGAACTCTGCCGTTGTGAATTATTGCCGCTTAACTCATCCCTATCGCCCGGAATATTAGTCTTCTTGCAAATGAGCAGGGAACGTTATATCCAATTTATATCCACCGCCGCCGCCGTATCGAAAAGATAGCGTCCTTAGAGATTTTAGAGCAAAATGATATGTTATATTAGGGTTGTAGGTCATTAATTGATATCGCAGATACTGATTTAACATTGCAAGCGTTCCATTTTTTCTGTTTCATCCCGAAGAAGACAATAAAGTTATGGAAACTTCGACGAATTTAAGAGTTTGATCTTTAATCTTCTGCGTCTATTTAGATCAATATGAAGGAAAATATTCAAATGTGTATAAGAATGTGGTACCTTATGAAAACATCCTGTTGTTATTAAAGATTGATAATAGTGTTTTTAATGTGACAGAAATCCTTAGGTACAAATTTCTTTTTTAACGTGAAATAAAATACATTTAAACTTTTGCTAACATCATTTTGCTTTGCTTTGAGTTTTGTTGATTTATTTGATTAATCGAGAATTACTTTTGTGAGAATAGTTTTGCCCAACCGAAAATTTCACGATGAAATAAACGGACAGATGCAAAATCCAAAAAAAAAACATCACCATGTACTGTACACTTTAATAATTTGTTATTGTTAAAATCTATTATGTTTTCGTCTTCTGAGACTATAACGACTTTCAGTTTTTAATTACACTGGTCGACATGACTTTTGTAACACAAACATTTAGAGGGAATAGATAGATGCGAAAAAATAATATGTACCTAACATTTTAAATAAAAATTTTGAACTGGCAGTTTGGGAATTTGTTTCTGTGTTGAAACGATTTTTAGACAACCATAAAGCAGATAACTACCCGCAACTAACCGCAGAACGTCTAAGACGCTACAAAAATTTCGGGTGTCGCATGTCACTGAAAATTCATTTCTTTCACTTACACTTGGATTTGTTTCCTGAAAGCCTTGAAGTTGTACCTAAGTGATGAACATGGGGAGCGGTTTTATCAGGAAATCGGCACTAGAGAGCAGAGATACAATGGAAGATACTCGTCATAAGAGGAAAAAATAATGAATCCTGCACTTTTCTTCTCATACAAGACAATTAGTTGCATTGAAATTATAATCTGCATTGGTTTCTTGTATTGACATTGGAAAGTTATAATATAATTAGTTATTAACTCTTTTGTGGTTCAGACGTATATAAAAAAAATTCAAACGTATATAAAAAAATATTTTTATAAAAATTATATGACATAGCAGTAACTAAGAAATGCGAAGTGACACGTAATTTTAATGCGATTTTCGAGTACAGGGTGATTCTATATATATTTTGACCCCCAAATTAACTTTTTTGTTTTTAGAGTTATAAAACAATGTGAAATACACAAGTTATATGATTTTTTATGAATTTTTCGGAAATGATAGTAGAAAAACAAATTAAGTCCAAACAAAATAGTATGGAGAAGAACGTTACTCTATTTTAATTCCTATAATACTCCAGATTCCATACTCTACTCTAGATATCTTTCATTCCTCGCTCATTAGTTTTACAAGATTTTTAAAGGGAACTATATTATTGTAAATTAACATTTTCTATATAATATTATTTCTGTACTTTTATATTCAATTAGCTTTAAGTAATTTGTGGGCATTGTTTTGGACTATAAAGCCTGTTTTTGTTTATTCTTCATAAATAAATAATATTTCAATTTTCTACTTCTGTGTAACCCATTTTAATTAAATAATAATATAAACTATCAAACAATAACGCTTAAAACAAAAAAATGAAAGGGTCAAAATATAGTGAATCGCCCTCTTCAGCAGGTGCGAATTAACACTTTATTTCGTTCGTGTTATAGAAAAACAGTTGAAATTTGTTGACCAGTGTTATTTTTGACAATTAAAATGTTACTTGTTTCCGTAGTTAAAGATGTCATATGGTGTTTATAATATTAATATTAACTTCATCTTTTAGAGTTTGTAGCCAACAAGGATCCAAGGAATTTGAAACGTTTTTCAAAATCGCGGTCTGTTTTTAATGATATTATTTCTCCATTGAATTATGTGACCGTTTCCCAAATATGACCACCAACATTTTTAATTCTCAAATTCTCGTTTTTTAATGTAACGTTTCTGCTCGTCTGTTCTAATTTTTACAGATCGAAAAGGTCTTTCCAACATAGTGTGTATTGTATTCACAAGATATAATAAACAACAGTATTTTCATAAACAAAATTATGGTAACTTTACAAAAATAGTGCATTTAAATTTAGTAATATAGTGACTGATATTGACATGACTTGTTTGGGTTACTTTACATTATATTTTCTAATAGACTAACGCTCATTCTAGTCATTTTTGAAATTCCAGCGGCTGAGATTTATATAGCTCTCAACAAAAAAATGTTTCCGCAAAAGTTTATAGTTGATTAATTAAACGTACATCGTTAAGGGTCCATATGAATTGCTGTGATGTAAAACGTTCATTAAATTTTCCCCCTGGGTAAAATTATAAAGTAGTTCTAAATTGTCCTCATTTATATTCCCGTGGTACGTCATAAATATAGGATATACTGTTATACCATTTGTGCTCTAAATCCTTAATATCCCTATCCTTATACGCATCCCTGAACAAAACTGTCTCTTCAAATGATGACATCCGACAAATCGCTAATAGACAATCCTTATATAGGTATAAATATAAATACAACGAACAATTATAAGAATGTTCTCAGTATTCCACTCTTATTTTTCCTAACAAAAAGGTTTATTGTTGAAAAATATTGTCTCCCATTATTGCAACTGAAAAAAAAGATTATTTTATTAACTTGAATATTAACATAACTTCACCATCTTCACACTAATTTGTAATGTGATCAAAGAATTTTTATGCCTCAACTTTTTATTAATAATCACAGCCCCACAAAAAAAAGGATCGGATCTGGTATTCAGACCCATGTATCCCATGTATTTCCCCGATGTATTCCACCCATGTATTTCCATGTATTTTTTTTTCCGCTGAATCCGAATCTGCCTGGAGTTTTCGGGAAAATTTAAAAAACAGGCCAAAATTCACAAAAAACGTCATTTACGATCGACGAAAGTTATAAAAAATCAAATTATTCTACCAGCTCACTAAACGTATGATATTTCACTCGTTTAATTCCAATTTATCATCATAGAATCAGACAAGCTGGTCCAATTTCATTCAAAAACAGAAATACCATTTTCATGGCATAATTCGTGTTGCAGAGTTCTGGATCCATCTTTTTATCCACCCACCCATTTATGAATTCATACATCTTTCTATTCAGTCGTTTATGCATGAATACGAATATTTATTCATCCACCTGTACAACCTATAATACCCACCCATCCACCCATCTATACATCTACTTTTTGTACTGAGAGATGAGATAACAGCCTAGAAAATTGAGAATGTAATAAAACTTGTAGAATACTCTACTTTCTAAACAAAAGAAAACGATATCTACAAATCATTCATTTTGATCTATTTTCTGTTTTTGAATGAAATTGGACCAGCTTGTCTGACTCTATGATGATAAATTGGAATTAAACGAGCGAAAAATCATACGTCTAGTGAGCTGGTAGAATAATTTGATTTTCCATAACTTTCGTCGATCGTAAATGACGTTTTTTGTGAATTTTGACCTGTTTTTTGAATTTTCCCGAAAACTCTGAAAGCAGATTCGGATTCAGCGGAAAAAAAATACATGGAAATACATGGGTCTGAATACCAGATCCGATCCTTTTTTTTGTGGGGCTGTGAATTGTTATGAAATACGTTTTATATTTTCTAAAATACATAATACATATTCTGAAATTCAAGTGATTTAACTGAACTTTTTGTTGTACCTACTATAATTTTTGACATTCCTTCGTTTTCAGGAGAAAGTAATTCTAACTAAAAATGTCATGAAGTGCATTTTTATACAAAATATTAATATGTACTATAAAAGTGTACAAATTATGATCATATTATTCCACATACTAATATCTTCTATCTTTTTTTTGTATTTTTATTAATATATACTTAAATGTTTAATTGTTCTAATTTTCTACTTTGATCAACGCGTTAAAGTGTATTGAATAATTTCGTCGTAATAGCAGAACTTTCTTTAATAGTCAAACCCTCAAATACGTATTTTCCTTTACAGCATACAGACAGTGCCAAACCGATGATTTTCATTGTGGGACCAAACCAGCCGACCCTTGTATTCCAAAAGAAAAGAAATGTGATGGATATTTGGATTGCCGGTCAGGAAAAGATGAACAGAACTGCCCAACGGGAGTCGCATGTCGTCTAGATCAGTTCAGATGCAGTAATGGAAATCGTTGTATCGAATCTTCTCAAAAATGCGATCACAAAAACGACTGCGGAGATAACTCAGATGAGCAAGGATGCAGTAAGTTCTTTTTAGTCATATAATTGATTAGTTAGGTACTGGAAACTTTAAGCAAGTTTATACAGATGGTTTAAATTCGATAGTGGAAACCAAAAAAACGTAACTAACTTAATTTTTAATATAACTGTTTAATTATATAACTAATTACAGCTCATGATTAAACTGAAACTTAGGGTCGATTTCGGTTTGTCAAAAGAAAATTAAACTAGATTTAATTAAATCCCTTAGCAACAGCTAACTAATCAAAAGCCATACCTTAGCAACCAAACACGATTTAGTTAAATTTTACTTAATAAATTGGACGTTAAACCACTTAAAAGATTGCTGAAACTTTTGTTAAAAGTAACTTTTAAATTAACGTTGGGATTGCTAGAACGATATTACAGGTCAGAACACTACAGTTGACTCTCTACCATCTGTTTTATGTAAGTTGTCACAGTAATTTTCAGCTTTCATGCATCAACTTTATTCATTTTACTTAATATCATTATTCCTAAATAAAATATTCTATTTGAAAATTTGTAATCTCCCTTGCATATACATCAATTAAGGTACCGTCCATTCCGTCGTTTGGTATGGTACAATTCCTGTTGACTTCTTGTCGAACTTCCCCCAGAATACTAATGTTTGGAATAGCACAACTAAAAGGACTCATTATATATTGTTTTTAATCTCAAAAAATAGGTCAAAATAGCAAAAACTGGAGCTTATGATGAAAAACTGTGTAGCCGATTTTAGGAGGAAATAGAACTCCTATTTGGATTACTTCAAAAATTGAGAAAACGGAATTCTTGAAATTTACACCAAAAGAGACTATGTTTCAGGATTTTTAAAAAACATAACCGCCTTGTTTGTATTGATTATTTAAATATCTGATGATGTCACTTAAATAATATGCAACGACGCTTCATATTAATTTCCATACTAAACCAGACGTCCGAGATTTTGTTTGATGTTGGAAGTTACAAATTCAATGCTGATATTGTTTCTAACAGGATATCCGCTTAGTGGAAACTTAACGCTACAATATTGGCAACATAGAGTAGAAACACAAAATTCTGCAATAATGGATAACAAAAATTTCTAATAAACAAAACTATTCTACAAGGTCCTTAACTTAAAACTCCCTAAGCCTATATCACCTATAATTTTTAAAATATAACTAACGTAATCGAGATTTTAATGTGTGTGTATACAGGGGGGTCTGAATTTTATGCAGGAAACTTGGAGGGCAGATAGATCTCTTCAAAATAATATGTGTTTCCTTATAAACCATAGGTCTGGAACGGCCCCGTTTTGGAGATACAGGGTGTTGAAGTTGTTAAAAAAAATTGATTTTTTGTTTATATCAGAAATCTATTAATTGATCTCAATAAAATTTGGTACAGATAATCTATGATAGTAGGCCTTGCATTCCCTAATATGAGCTCTAAAGGTACAACCAGTGGTGTACAACTGGGCAAGGGTCATCTCCTTTTTTATAAAAAAAACCTACGCCACTCCATTTTTACGAGTTATTGTAACGGATTTATATTCTAATGCACAAAATACGTAAAAAGGTAACTTGCATTTTTTCCGTATAAGTTTCGCCATTTTCAAGTTATTGGACAGTTTGTGGACCTTTCTTCTTGCCACCCCGTCTAAATTCCCAGTCATTTCTAAATTTTCTAGAAAACCATCTATTTGAATTATTATTATGTTCCATTAAATATACGACAAAATAGCTGGATACAATGAATGGTGCTCCTGCGCATTCTGGAAGAATGGCTTAATGAAAATTATATGGAGCGATGGGGTAGAAGACCAAGTGCCAATGTCAACCATAATGGTGCAGAGGGTCCAGTGTCTTGGCCAGCCAGATTGCCACATCTAAACACCCTGGATTTCTATGTTTGGGGTTATTTGAAAAGTAAAGTTTATTCTACTCCAACAGATACAAGACCACAACTACTGCAACGAATAGAAGACGGGTGTAATGAATTAAAAGAAAACCACCACATGATATTAGCTTCAATTAATTCCATTACTAGAAGATATCCGAAATGTATCTATCTGGGTGGTTCGCATTTTGAACAATTGTAAATACGTAACGGTTAATTTTGTACGTAATGGTTAATTTTGTGTCTTGTTTAGTTGCTGTGGCTTGGTAAATATATTTTCATTATTATTTTGATTGAAATTGTTCTTATTTGTGAAGAGTATTAGACCTCCAGGGAAAACTAAAACACGCTAATTGCACTTACTTTAAGTATAAACATAAATATTCTTGTAATATTATGGTTAGAAGTGTCTACCACAAGGGGACTGTATTGGTATGAATAACTTATGGAGAACAGCGAATCTTAGGGAAAAAATTAGTCACCTTTTTTACGTATTTTATGCATTAGAATATAAATCAGTTACCTGACTTGTAAAAAATGCAGTGGCATGGGTTTTTTTGTAAAAAAGATTTGACCCCTGTACACCACTGGTTGAACCATTAAAGCTCATATGTAATGTAATGCCTACTATCATACATTATCTGCATTATCTGTACCAAATTGTATTGAGATCGGTTAATAGATTCAGGAGATATAAACAAAAAATCATTTTTATTAACAACTTCAACACCCTGTATCTCTAAAACGGGGCTGCTCCAGACCAATATTTATAAGGCAAACACATATTATTTTAAAGAAATCTATCTGCCTTTGAAGTTTCCTGCATAAAATTCGAACCACTCTGTATATTTTAACCTTCGAACTGTTTAGTTAAAAAAATAAGTGATTGAACAAAATGACGGCTGTTGAAAGCTAATTTTTCCGGAAAATTGTGGTGGTGTTGAATAGGTCATGAAATAAGCTTCAGTTTGATATACGAGTCGATAAATTTAGTGGTTATACAAGATGTTTAAAATTGGACAAGAATATAACACTGCTACCTTCAAAATTGTCAAAAATAAACGAGATGGTTAAATTATAGCAAAATTTACTAATTTAGTGAGTATTATGTTGAAAAATATGTTTCCCCACTAAACATTTTTCAGTTTCTGACATGTTTCAGAAATGTTTCCATTTTTCTTGAAACGTTTCATAAAAAATCCATGCAACGTTCTGGTAACGTTCTAGAAGCCCAAGATGTCCACCCCAAAATACATTTCCAATGAAACGTTTCAAAAAATTGGTTTCAGTAATTCTTTTTATGTTCCATTTATGCCCTCGATAGTTTTGTTTTACGTTTCAGTATATTTTCAAAAATGTTTGAGTAACATAATAATTTTATTACCATATTGTTCTCATAATGCTCTCAACTTTAGATAATTTTCATTTCAAAAGCGTTTTTGAAATAGTATAAATAGTGTGAGTATTTTTTTAAATATCTCTAATACTCTTTTGTAATATTTTTATTTGTATTGTGAATGACTTAATTCGAACTAAAATAAGTTACATTGGATATTAAAAAAAAAAAAAAATATGCGCTTCTAGTTTGGGGATGCGGCAACTTTGACCAAGGATTTCTATCTTTTTGAGAAGACATTGAAAAATGTTTCTAATAGGATTACGAATTTTGCCATTCATCGTACAAATAAAAATGTCACAAAACAATATCAGAAGCATTTAAAAAAGCTACACATTTTATATTGTTCAAATACGCTTCTGAAATGGAAATTTTCTAATGTTGAGACCATCATGAATATGGTAACAATGACGAACTGATAATTAGAAAAAGTTAGTTATGATTATGAATCTTGAAATGGTAGGTACATGAAAAACAAATAACATTACTGAAAAATAATATAAAGTTATAATTTCTTCTACGCATGGTCAATATTACATATATCCTTTTAATAATAATAAATTATACAGCAGAAATAAGGATACAAAATGATATCTTGACAAAGTAAATATCTGTAGGTATACCTAAACTCTTTTATTTAAGCATGCCTATACACATAAACAAATATAAACATTTGTACAAAATATAAAATAAATGACGTCTATTTCACTTGATTCATCCATATTTCAAATAGTTCTCACTGACTAAGTAGTTGCTCTTCAAATTTATATCGAAACGTATAGTTGCTGTTCCATTTTCTTAGTTCTTGTCCCTTGTCCTCTTGTCTGTAACAGGTAGTGGGTATAACTATATTTAGGTAGATGTGATGCAAAATTGGAAATCTCTACACATATTATTTTAAGCATTTTGCATCAATATTCATTATTTTATATGCACCTTACAATAACCACAACTGCACACACTACAAATTATCACATAAAATAGCGTCAAAGTAAAGATGAAGAACAAGGAAACCAAGCAAACTAGTAAACCGCAAACCTAACCTAACATAATACGAATTGAAACGACACACGGGAAACAAAAAAAATAAACTCGGGCTGTTACGCGCAGTCTACGCAAGTCACGAACATACATTTTTTCTAGACTTGTGTTATAAATATGCTACCTCATTTTTTTTTTTTCTAATTATGTCTTTGTATAACAAAGGCAAATGAACTAACGCTTGAGAATCCGATTGAGAGCAAAATTTAACTAATGCCGAATGTTCCATAAGATAAGCAAAAATCGAAAGGGAATGTTCCGAGTAATGTTTCAAACTCTCTTCAATTGTAACGTTTCGGCTATGTTTCACTAAATAAGTTTTCAAGTGCTACATTTCTGTAATGAAACAGAAACGTTTCTAGTTAATGTCTCAAATGTTTAGTAAAACATCTCATTTGCAACGTTTCATTTACGTTTCGTATTTAGTGGGTCTGAATATGTACATTTTTTGTAAATATGTATACTGCCATTTCCATTTTTAAAAAATTGAGTACCTACTCTTTGTGGTATCTTGAAAATTATAGGAGATACAGAAGGTTTGGGGAGTTTTAAATGATATAGTCTATATAGTAGGTACATATTATTTATTAGTTAATTTGCTACAAAGAAAAAAAACATTTTCAGACAACAAATATTATACAAGGTTTGGGGAAAAATGCTCGCTAATAAAAAGTTGAGTGCACCAATCAAATTGCCAAATGTGCCATAATGCAATTAAATCAACATAACAGATTAATACAAAAACATGTAGTGTTTCCATTTAAAAAAATAATTAAAAAATTAAAATTCTATAAAATAAATATGGTGGAGCTATGGCAAAAACATTTTTTATGATTTTTATGAGACTATATTACATATATTGCACCTCAAATTAAACAGTACTTGAAATATTTCATCCTTTAGATTTAAAAACCTCCACCCCCGTCTCAATCAATTATAATGTTGCAATGTTTTATCACTCACTATAGGAAACATTCCATAATTTGAGATGTACAAATATTCACAGAATGTTCACAATCATTATAAATTATAAAAAAAGTACTGAAGTAAGTAATTTTTTCTAGACTTTCCAATCTGCCATGGAGTACAATTTAGATGTTCTAATGCCCTTTGTATTCCTGGGGCTTTTCACTGTGATGGATATCAAGATTGCGCAGATGGGTCTGATGAGGTGAATTGCACTGCGATCGCATGCCCAGAGAATAAGTTTTTGTGTCCAAGTGGAAACGGACCTGGTATACACAAATGCATTGCTAAAAACAAACTCTGTGATGGAAAAAAAGACTGTGAAGATAATGCCGATGAAGAGATAGCATGCTGTAAGTAATTTTGATCACTTGTGTTATAGTATACAATAAAAGTGTGTTAGTTGTCTTTAAGAATTTCTGCTATTGCAATACATTTCTATTTTTTAGCGAAACTATCGTGTCCTTCTCTCGGTTGCGAATACAAATGCCAAGCTTCTTTAACCGGAGGAACTTGCTATTGTCCGGATGGAAAAACATTAGCTCCAGACAACCGAACCTGTGCTGACAGAAACGAATGTAATGAATGGGGATTCTGCGATCAGCTCTGTACAAATACTGCTGGAAGTTACAGTTGTGCCTGTGCCCCGGGATATATTCTCGACAAGAACAGATGTAGAGCTCAAAACAGTTCCTCACTTCTTTTGTATTTTGCACATGAGAAATCAATTTTTAGCATGAATCCGGCTGGTAATAACGTTAAAATTGTTGTTAATACTACAGGTGCAAGTGGACTTGATTTCCATTACGGTTTAAATCTACTCTATTGGTCGGATGTCAAAACTAAAAGGGTATGTATCATAAATGTTGTTAAATTAGAATTTTTCCGTCATATTGAGATTTTTTTGAGAATCTTTAGATATCGTGAATTTAACATTTAAAAAACTCACCATTTTACAGAAACAAAATAATTTTTTCTATTGAAACCTCTAATAAATATTAAATTGAATAAAGTAAATTTATTACAAAAATAATATAAAATATTTTTAAGATAAATAAATATGTTTTTCTTCAGATCCATTCACAACCATTATATGGAAACAACACCTTCGCAAAACCAGATGTGGACATTGCCCTCCTTGGAACATGGCTACCAGTCGCTATAGCAGTAGACTGGATAGGAAATAAATTGTACGTTGCCGATTCTGTTGGACAAAAAATAGATATTTTTGAGTTGCAAGAACGAGGCCACGCCATTGTGTTGGGTTCAAATTTAACGAACCCTTCTGATATAGCTTTAGATCCAACTATCGGTTATATGTTTGTCGCAGACAGTTCACAGGTACTTAGAGCTAATATGGACGGAACGAATACGGTATCTATAGTATCCGAGGCGGCATATAAAGCTTCTGGAATTGCCATCGACATTATAGCAAGACGAGTGTACTGGTGCGACTCTCTACTCGACTATATAGAAACGGTAGATTATGACGGGAAAAACAGATTTTTAGTTGTGCGAGGTCAGCCTGTGCCTAGCCCTGCGAGACTGGCTCTGTTCGAAAGTCGGGTTTACTGGACCGATGGAACAAAACAGGGTGTTATGTCTGTTGATAAATATGAGACGAGCACTATTCATTCCATATATCGAATGCGCGATATCAGAGACCCAAAGGCTATCAAAACGGTGCATCCGTTAACTCAGCCATATGTAAGCAACCCTTGTGGACATAATAATGGCGGTTGCCAGCACATGTGTGTAATAACCAACACGGGTTCAGTTCTCGGATTCCGATGTGCCTGCAATATCGGTTATCGATTAAGAGCAGATGAAAGAAATTGTGATTTAGTTACGGACTTCCTAATGTATTCTCAACAGAGATTTATTAAGGGGAAGATTTTAGATCCTGTGATTGATGGATTTAGTGATGCTATGCTTCCCGTAGTTTCGCGAAGAGCAAGATTTGTAGGTCTCGACTTTGACGCTTTTGATCAGCACATATATTACTCTGATGTACTTCAAGATGTCATTTATCGAGTACACCGAAATGGCACATCTAAAGAAATAGTTTTAGCTTCTCAAAACGAAGGAGTAGAGGGTTTGGCTGTAGACTGGGCAGCAAAAAATTTATACTATATAGACAGTCGCAAAGGAACCTTAAATGTCCTATCTACTCGCAATGTCACTTATAGAAGAACGTTATTAAAAAATCTCAAGAGACCGAGAGCGATTGTTGTTCATCCAAATAAGGGATACATATTTTTCTCAGAATGGGACAGGCCGGCAAACATTTCCAGAGCTCTAAGCGATGGCACAAATTTAACAGTTTTTAAAAATCTTACGCTTGGCTGGCCAAACGGATTGTCGATAGATTTTACAAGTGATCAGCTTTATTGGTGCGACGCTCTCCTGGATCATGTTCAACATTCGAATTTGGATGGCACTGATGTGAAGACCGTTAACTCCAGGCTTATAAGACATCCCTTCAGCATTGTAATTTATAATGATTTCATGTATATAACGGATTGGAGGTTAGATGCAATAATCAAACTTCATAAATTAACTGGAGACTCCGAAGAAATTTTAGTTAGGGAACCACAGACTAACAGACTGTACGGAGTGAAGGTAAGTTTCTTTTTATTAAATATTACAGCCGTTGTTAAACGTTCCATTTCAGATTTACAGTGAAATGGAACAATCCGTAAGTATAGGGCATCCTTGTTTCAACAATAACGGGGGATGTGAGAAACTATGCTTTGCCATTTCAAAAGAACATACGTCTGAACTTGAAGCTAAATGTGCTTGCCCATATGGTGAAACCTTAACGAATGACGGGAAAACATGTCAAGCGGATCCGAATCATGAGCCTCCCGTACAAGCTTGCACCAACAGCTGGGACTTTACTTGTAACAACCAACGCTGCATACCAAAGTCGTGGGTGTGCGACGGAGACGACGACTGCTTGGACAACAGCGACGAGGAACAAAACTGTACAAGTGAGATTAATTCCAGGTGATTAATACTTTATAAACTAACTTAAATTCTCTTTTTACAGAACCAACGTGTAATACAAATGAGTTTCAATGTAAATCGGGTCGATGTATTCCCATGACATTCAAATGCGACGCAGAAAACGACTGCGGTGATTTTAGTGACGAAACCGGTTGTGTGAACGTGACCTGCAGTGCCACTCAGTTTCATTGTGATAATGGTCGGTGTATACCTAATACCTGGAAATGCGATTCGGAGAATGATTGTGGAGACGGTTCGGATGAAGGGGACACTTGTGCTGAGAAAACATGTGCGTACTATCAGTTTACCTGCCCCAGAACTGGCCACTGCATACCTCAGAACTGGGTGTGTGATGGAGATGATGATTGCTTTGATAAACAGGATGAACAAGACTGTCCTCCGATTACTTGTCAACCGAATCAGTTTAAGTGCGCCGACTTGAGACAGTGTATTCAGGAAAGTTATAAATGCGATGGAATTCCAGACTGCAATGATGGAAGTGACGAATTAGGATGTCGTAAGTAATTTCCTATTATTAGCTCTAATATTTTTACTTTATTGTAAAGGCATTAAGCTAAATTCAGACATTCATTTTCTTTAAACTTATCAAATGAAATCAAGCAACATTATTTGATACCAGAAATCTAGATACCCATGCAAAAGATATCTAACCTCACAAACAAGATTCCCAACTGTTGACATTACAGGAAACGATTACTCTATTAGCTACATGCCCCAGTTAACATTGAATTACACCAACAATAGCTAGTAAACAGCCAGTAATAAATATTTATCCAAAATAACAGTTAAAAATTATGTCTAATTCAAACTATTTTAATTTAGTAAGTATTGGTCTGCCAAGGGTGATGTTAGAAGAACAGAAATACAAGATATTTCTTTCATAATTATTATACGACTTCTTTTATTAAGATTTTTTAGCAAAAATGTTTGAATTTGAATTAATAAATAAAGTAATGATTCTTTTGTCATAACCCTTTCTGATATATTTCTCATTTAGCGTCTATTGAACCAAATCAATGCAACTTTGAGAAACAGTTTCAATGCCAGTCATCGGGTATATGTATTCCTAAAACATGGCACTGCGATGGTACACCTGACTGCGATGACAGATCCGACGAGCCCGAATCTTGTGGCAACATCGATTGCCCTAACAACTTCTACAAATGTAACAGTACCAAGTGCATATTTAAGGTTTGTTTCTAACTTTTACTTTAAATTAATAGAACTGGAGATAATTATAGAATATATTTATAGGCGTATATTTGTGATGGTAAAGAAGATTGCGAAGATGGATCCGATGAAAGTTACATTCACGCTTGTGGAAGACCTCCGTTCAGATGTCCGGCGGGACAGTGGCAGTGCCCAAATGTGACAGAGCGATGTGTTAATTTAACGACCGTTTGCGATGGCAAACCAGACTGCCCTAATGGAGCGGATGAAGGACCAGATTGTGATTTTGATGAATGTCAACATCAGGGAGGGTTATGTTCTAATGGATGTAAACAAACTCCGCAGGTAAAAACAGAATGTACCATTAAGATTAATGACACCTACATAAAAACTAATTTGCGGTAACTACAAACTAATGTAATTCTTCTCCAATGATAGACTTGTAGCTTTTGCATGAACCGTAATAATTTTACCAAACCTCTATCTAGTAAATATCTAAGAACATTTGTCAGGAGAATCACCAGACATAAATCAGTTTCAAACTTATTACTTCTCACCAGTATGCCGTAAGTGAAACAATTGACAAAAGATTTTAGATATCTATCTATGTACATTTGAGTGTGAGTGAGATATAGTCTATAAAGTATATGTCATACTTCAATTGTTATTGCTATTTCAGTACTTGCTAGCATAGAGTTACCTATTAATTTGTAGGTACAGTAAAACCTCGATTACCCGGGCCGGCCGGGACCGAACTGTTGCTGGATAATCAAAAATACGATTGAAAAATATGTGTTTATAATTAGTTTCAACAACTCCAGCTGAATGGAACTGGGCACGTAAATTTTATCTTTAAGTTAAATTTCGCACGGGGCTTGCAACTTACCCCAAATTTTCCACGTCTTTTCCGTAGCAGAGGGCCCTCAGTCTTCAGTCCGTCCGGCAATGGGAACAGGATAAGAACAAAGTTGAGGCAGACTTAAATTAATTCTGGCAAACGGCAAAAGTATATTATATTGTTTTATCGGCACTAGTAAGCATCGTTCAAGCGTTAAAACCGACCAGAGACCCATACTTCACTCTCTCTCTTTTATGTGTATTAGTCGCAAGTCTATTTCGTGCAATTAAAACAAAAAATAGTAACAAAAATGAACAGAAAAGCGGGTTATTTTGAATGCAATTATTTACTAAACTAAGGCTAAAATTAATTATATGAAATGACTAATTTAAAGAATACTGAACAACGGTTAATCGAAATAACGTCCAAACTCACCAATTTTGCAAAAAATATGAACTTTATTATTACACCTACCTATTACATACATGTAGGTAAATAATATGTATGCGATAAACAAGCAGAGACCCATCTTTTTTTTGTTTCTGAGCGCTTTTTTCGCCCCGCCACGGATAATCGGAGTTCTACTGTACAAACAAATAAAATGTTGTTATACCATAATATTATCAGAAACAAACATCAAACTTGTGAAATTTTCACCTCTATCGGTAATGTGGCCTGCAGTAACAGTAATTGGTAAATTTTGTTGAATAGAATAATTTTTAATGTGTAGCTATTTTGCAAGGAATATTTTCTGTTGAATGCATTCCAACAGGTTTGATTTATTGTTATTAATATGAATAATATGAATAATCTGCGATGTGTCATGATTTTGGATGTAGGGCAACCACTAAAAATTTCAAAAATACCTTCATAAAAAGATAATCTTTTTTTCGAACTCTTTGCTTTGGGTATAAACATTGTTTTGAACACTGAATATACACTCTATACACTTGATGACTTAAGCTCATTTGATTTTTGAGCTAAATAATCCAACAAAATATGTTAATTTACTACCAATATTTTTTTTCGCAAAATTCATATGTTTTTCGTATCTTTTCATTGGTAATAATTTGTCACTAATAGCAACAAATGCTTCTTTAATATCGGTTGAACTGTTTTCTTCGTCACTTTAACTGCTTCTCATCTTTAAATGACTTACGAGACTTGTAAAAATATGTATCAAATATCAAAGACTTTTGCTATTGTGTCACTTTACCAAGGCTTCCTTTCTGATCTAGATCAGCAACGATGCACTCTCCAAGCTAAAAAGTAATTGGAAACAAACATTTTCTAGAACGGGAAGAAAAACATAATGAATAAGTAAAAACATCATTTATCATATTTGATAAATATAATTGTAAAAAATGGTCACGCATAATTCCTGTATTTAAACCTATCTCCAGCTTTGTGTAATTATAATATTTTGCGGATATACCCATGTTTAGGAAACACAAAATTGTATTAAAGTAACTTGATTTAAATTACCTAGTTCATTTCTATCCAAGGAAACTATTTTTGAAATATGGTCCCTTCACTCCGGACACCCTGTACACGCATACATAAAGAAGAAATAGATATATTTATATATTTTGTTGTTAGGGCCCACTATGCTTATGTCCAAAAGGTGAAACGTTAAGAGCAGATGGAACCAACTGTGAAGATCTCAACGAATGTGACCCACCTGGTATTTGTTCGCAAAATTGCATCAATACGAAAGGCTCCTACTTCTGCAGTTGCGTACCCGGATATATTCTAGAACCTAATAAACATTCCTGCAAAGCTTACAGTAAGTTGATCATTAGCTATGATCTAAGTTCACTTATTCATTGCCTTGTTGTTATAGATCACTCTTCGGCATTTTTAATTATATCGAACCGACATTCAATTCTGGTGGCGGACCTAAAAGACCAAGGGTTGGAAAGAGTGCCAATTATCGTCGAAAACGTTGTGGCGACAGCTTCCAACATGCATACAGGAACAATATTCTGGTCCGATATGAAGTTAAAAAAAATTTCTAAACTGGACAGGGGCAGTGAACCCGTGGAAATAATATCTAATGGTTTGGATTTAGTGGAAGGTCTGGCGTACGATTGGATAGGAAAAAATATTTACTGGTTAGATTCTAAGTTAAACACAATCGAAGTTGCAAAAGAAAATGGATCTAACCGAATAGTGTTGGTAAGGGAAAATATAACCCAACCTCGTGGAATGTGCTTAGATCCCAGTCCCGGGTAAGAACATATGTTTTTATCACTCTGCTTCATATTTATCATTGTTTTCTTTGGTTTTAGAACAAGATGGCTCTTTTGGACGGATTGGGGCGAAAACCCTCGTATCGAACGTATTGGAATGGATGGAACAAATCGTTCGACTATAATAAATACCAAAATATACTGGCCTAATGGTTTAACACTGGATACAGCCACCCAAAGGGTTTACTTTGCCGACTCTAAACTCGATTTCATAGACTTCTGCTACTATAACGGCAGTGGGCGCCAACAAGTCTTAGCTGGTAGTCACTACCTCCTTCATCCCCATTCCCTTACATTGTTCGAAGACACCCTCTACTGGACAGATAGACAACTGAACAGAGTATTGTCAGCTCACAAGTATAAAGGCAACAACCAAACTGTCGTGTCGCATTTGATTTCCCAACCGTTGAGCATACACGTGCACCATCCTTCACTGCAACCCATAACGGAAAATCCCTGTTCGTTAGCACCTTGTGAACACATCTGCCTTTTGTCTCCAAGCAGTAGCACTGGTTACACTTGTAAGTGCAAGGCAGGTTTTAAATTGAACTCGGACTCTAGGTGCATCGAGGAAGACACAGCTTTCCTGATGTTAATGAGAGGGTCTCAAATAGTCGATGTTCCGTTAACACCTGGAGACAGCTCTGTCGGTTCTATCACGCCAATTGTGGGCATTGAAAATGGCATACAAATCGACTATGATAGGAAAAATAATCTAATATTCTGGGTGGAAAGTAAGGACGACCAGGGAGAAAATGTAAGTGACTTTTTAAAAAATGTATGTTTTGAATTTGAATTATCTTAATACCTATAAAATAGAGTAAATAAACATTACTATTATACAGGGTGTTTTTAAATGAAGAAGCAAAAATGGTACCAGTGAATGTAGAATCAGAAAATAAGAGGATTGAAGTAAAAATACCTTATATGAAAATTGCACCCTTAAAGGAGGGGATTGAAATTCAAATTTTAATTTTTTTCTTTAACGTGAGGAATTCTAGAGACATGAAACTTGGTATGAGCATCCTATTAATAAAGAGACAACTTTTCAATATTTGTTCGATCATTGGCGTATTTCATAAAGGAGTGAAACAGGCAACCTTGCAATATTTTATTAGAAATTCTTTATATGAGGCAAATTATTTATTTAAAAATATTTATTGGGAAGACTGATTTATTGTGCAACTTTTTTACATCTTGTAATTTTTCCGATAAAACCGAAAGTTTTCTATTAAAAAAATTAGATGCGTCATTGTTCACTAAAGAGATAATTGCGGAAATTTGTAAAAATAAAGTAGGCGGATGTCATAATAAATAAATTGTTATTTATCATATTAATAAATTGACACTTTTGTGAGGGTGCCGGAAGAAGGTGTAATGTCCGAACTGTTGAAACTGAGGAAGCTATACTTGAACATCTAGAACAAAACTGTGGTACAAGCACAAGACAGGTTTCCAGGCAACTGCAAGTGGATTTTTGTCAATGGTACATTAATATTTCCAGGCATGACTTAAATTTCCTAATGAATATACTTTTCACTGATGAAGCAAATTTTCCTAGAGTAGGTGCAGTAAACCTTCATAATGTTCATTCATGGTAGGAAGAAAATATTCATGAAATATTTGTTTCAAAATGTCAACATAATTTCAGTTTAAATGTTTGGATGGGAATTGTAGTAAATACTCTAGTAGGTCTTTTTATTCTTCCACACAGGCTTGGACTGGCCGAGTATCTTAGATTTTTTAACGAAAATCTTCCAAACATTACTTGAGGATGTACCCCTCGCTACACGTCAGGTGATGTGGTTGGTATAAGCACGATGGGGCGCCTGCACATGGTACACTTGCTGGTAGAGAATGGTTAAATTTAAATTATCCGAATCGCTGGATTGGTCGTGGTCGTGATGCCCCTGTTTGTTGGCCTGCACGTTCACCTGACCTAACGCCTGTGGATTTCTTTTTGTAGGGACACATAAAAAGTATTGTGTGTGCCACTCCCGTTGCCTCCTTAGAAGAACTACGCTTCAGAATATTTCACAGCAGATAACCTTCGCAATAACCAAGAACTGTTTGTGTGAGTTATAACTTCAACAGACGTATTAGGTTATGCTTGCAGCAAAATGAAAATTATTTCGAGAATATTCTTTAAATTTAATTTTGCATTTATAGTTTTTCGTTTGTATTAAATTTTATTTCAGATAAATAACTTTACCTAATACATGTCCTATAGTCTTAAGTTATCAAACATTTTTCATTAATTAATAGCAAATTATTCTTAATGTTATTATTAAATTACCAGCTTATTTACAGAAAGTGTCAATTTATTAATATGATAATTACTTCTCAATTACCCCTTTAGTGAACGATGACGCATCTAATTTTTTTATTAGAAAACTATCGGTTTTATCGAAAAATTACAAGAGGTAAAAAAGTTGCGCAATAAATCAGTCTTCCCAATAAATATTTTTAAATAAATAATTGGCTTCATATAAAAAATTTCTAATAAAATATTGCAATGGGGTTGACTGTTTCACTCCTTTATAAAATACGCCAATGATCGAACAAATATTGAAAAGTTGTCTCTTTATTAGTAGGAGGCTCAGACCAAGTTTCGTGTCTCTAGCATTCCTCATGTTAAAGAAAAAAATTAAAATGTGAATTTCAATCCCCTCCTTTAAGAGGGTATATCACCTCAGGGGTGCAACTTTCATATAAGGTATTTTTACTTCAATCCTCTTATTTTTGGCTCTACATTCACTAATACCATTTTTGGCACTTCATTTAAAAACAGCCTGTATAAGTTTAATTATGAATGTTTTAAACTTCAGTGTACAATGCTTTTAGTGTACCATATGGTCGACTCCATACAGCGGAGGAAACAAAACTCAACTCCTTGGAATCGACTCGGGAATTGTAGGCTCACCTTCTACGGTAGCGTTTGACTGGTTAGGAAGAAACTTATTTATAGGAAACCGTTTAGCCAGTAACTTGGAAGTCGTAAGAATTGACGGGAAAATCAAGCACAGAAGTATTATATTAGCCAACGATGGTAACAAAACTTCAGTTGCCAAACCAAAGTCCATTTGTTTAGACCCAACCGATGGAAAATTGTATTGGACTGATGATGGTGGTTACGGAGTACCCCAGAAAATCGGTAAAGTCAATATGGACGGGTCTAACCCAATCATACTTGTGGATGATATTGAAAGACCAGATGCATTAACAATTGATATCGACAGTAAAACTCTGTACTACAGTATGCAATTTCCACCTCTCATAGGGACCATTGACGTATATGGAAATAAAAGAACTACTCTCTTAACGGAAGCTAATCACATAAACATGCCAAAAGCCTTAGGAGTTATTGGCAATCGCCTGTTCTATCTGGACCCCAGCTATGAAAAATTGGTACAAGTAGCTCTTCCCTCAGGTGGAAGTCCTAGAGCTATTCTAGAAAACGAACCAGATTTAAAAACATTCACCATCTTCAAGAAAAGACCTCTTGGTGACCATCCCTGTTTACAAAATAACGGCGGATGTGAACACCTTTGTATACCCGCAGAAGGCAGGTCTCGAACTTGTGCTTGTAGTATCGGTTACAAAAAGGACGACAACAGTTGCTCCCCATACAAAACATTTGCCGTTGTGACGCAACTGGATATGACCAGAGGTTACAGTTTGAAAGACAGCTCGGAGGCTATGGTTCCCATAACGGGAACCGGCCATCACATCTTGCACGTAGATGTGCACTATGCCGAAAATTGGATATACTGGGTGGAATTTAACCGGGGTGTGTGGAACGGTATATTCAGAGTACGACCGAATGGCACAGAATTACAACACATTATAAAAGACGGCATAGGAAGCAATGGAATTCGTGGTTTAACTATCGATTGGGTAGCTGGTAACATGTATTTTACAAACGTATTCCCACATGAAAATTACGTAGAAGTATGTTGGTTAGACGGAACCAACAGAAAAGTTATTGTCAAAACAACCTCTGATGCCCCTAGAGAACTAGCTGTAAATCCAATAAAACGAATTCTTTACTGGATCGATTACGGGCAATACCCCAGGATAGGAAAAGCTAACCTCGACGGATCCGACTGGCGGCCAATAGTCACATCCGGTATAAGCAATCCGAGAGATTTAACAATTGACATGAACACTCACGATGTGTACTGGGTCGACTCGAAGTTAGACATGATTCAAAAAATATCTTTCAGCGGTGCTCATAGACAAGTTATTCGTCGCAATCTGCCAAATCCGATGGGCATAGCAGTGTACAAGTCTGACGTCTATTGGGTCGATCGTAACTTAAAAGTTGTATTTAAAGCATCGAAATTGCCAGGAAACACCTCTCTACCGACACGCGTTAGAACAAATTTGGATAAATTAAGAGATATAGCAATCTTTGATATCACTAATCAGCCAACAGATGACACGAATCCGTGCAGAAAATATGGAAGCAGTCCTTGCAAGCAACTCTGCTTCGCTTTCCCCGTAGGTCTAGGGGCAGATCAAGGACCTTCGTTTAGGTGTGATTGCGCGATAGGAAACATCTCCAAGAATGGTCACGATTGTGAATTCGTAAATGAATATCTAATTTTCTCGACTAGAACAGAAGTAAGGGCCATTAATTTAGATCCACATTCCACAAATGTTCCCTTCAGCCCTATAGGAAATCTAACCAATGTGGTAGGAATCGATTTTGACTATAAACACCAGAACATATTCTTTACTCAAATTAGACCGTGGGCACGTATAGCTCAAATGCCTGCCACTTCCCCGGATGGTAAGTCTATTATTAACATAAAAAACAAAGGTATTAACCCTGAAGGCATTGCGTATGACTGGACCCAGCAGAAGGTATATTGGACCGATTCTTCAAACCACAGTATTTACTCAATGAATTTAGACGGAACGGATCTAGTTATGATTGCAAGAGTAGAAAGGCCAAGAGCCATCGTGATCGATCCGTGTAACGGTACCCTATTTTACACCGACTGGGGCAAGTTTGGAACTTCGGGAAAAATTTTAAGGACAACTATGGCCGGGTCATTAAAGAAAGTGATAATAGACAAGAATTTAGCACAACCCTCAGGCTTGGCTATAGACTATGACGATAAAATGTTGTATTGGACGGATGCCGTTCGGGAAAAAATCGAAAGATCAGATTTCAACGGAAAAAATAGAGAAGTCTTGATAACGGCTACTATTTATCCATTTTCGATAACAGTATTTGGAAATTACATGTACTGGACTGATTTACAACTAAAGGGTGTTTACAGAGCGGAGAAACATACGGGTGCGAACATGATTGAAATGGTCAAGAGACTGGAAGACAGTCCAAGAGATATTCAGGTCTACTCAGAGAAACGTCAAAGGTGTTCCGTAAATCCTTGCAATATCAATAATGGTGGATGTGCTCAGAGTTGCCATCCGGGGCCAAATGATACCGCCGAATGTAAATGCGATGAAAATACGAAGCTGGTTAACGAAGGTAGAATGTGCGTAAACAAAAATTTAAGTTGTGATTCCAGCAAATTTTACTGCGGTAATGGTAGATGTATTTCAAGAATGTGGGCTTGTGATGGAGAAGATGATTGTGGGGATAACAGTGATGAAGACACAAAGTATTGCTGTAAGTTGTCTTTACTTGATTTATGTAATAAAATAAATGTAATATTTTCTCTTTAGCTTTCCATTCGTGTTCTACAAATGAATTCCGTTGCGCTAATGGCAGATGCATATTCAAATCCTGGAAATGCGACCATGAAAACGATTGCAAAGATGGGTCGGATGAAACGGATTGTCAGTACCCACCTTGTGAAGAAGGAGAATTTACATGTGCCAATCACAGATGCATACCAATGGCTCAGGTACAGTTTTAAAAAAAAAACCTTCAATTTGACTACTTTACGAAGGAAATATTTTTAAAATAATTTACTGATTTCGTAGGTTTGTAATGGAGTAAACGATTGTAAGGACAACATAACCTCTGATGAAACGCATGAAAGATGTCCTCAAAACACGACGTGCCCCACTAATCACTTGAAATGTGAAAAAACAAATATATGCGTTGAACCTTATTGGCTTTGCGATGGAGACAATGATTGTGGTGATAACTCTGATGAAAATCCGTTACACTGTGCTCAAAGAACTTGCCCGCAGAGCAGCTTCAGATGTTCAAATCACCGTTGTATACCTGCGACATGGTGAGTAATAAGTAACAAGCCGGGATTCCTTTTGTACCCCACAGACATAGAGAGCTATTTCATTCAACAACATTTTTCTATCCAATAGGTATTGTGATGGAGATGATGACTGTGGGGATGGAGCTGACGAACCACCAGAATACTGTAAAAGTGATGGCCGCACTTGTTTTGGAGACCTGTTCACTTGTGACAATGGAAACTGTGTACCGAGGATTTATATTTGTGACGGTGACAATGACTGTTTGGATAACAGCGATGAAGATAGTCGACATGAATGCAGTAAGCATAATATTTAAATCATTATACTAATAAGATTTATTTTATGATTAACGAAGTGCTCAACTTATATTTAACTTATGCAAATATGCAGTCATTTAGATAATAGGTACTGAATAAATTTTTGCAAAATTAAAAATATAGACGATGTTTCGATTTATGGTATACAGGTCATTAAGTAAAAAAAAAAAAAACAAATGAAGTTTAAAAGTGTTTTTTAGATAAATTGTGTGAATGCACATATTTGGAAATTGTAATTTTCTTAAAATTGCAAACATAAGTCTTTTATGACATTTTTATTTTTTTAAATACCAATTTGTGAAAAATTTTATGCCAATTTTTAAATTATTGTATTAGCAACTTCTGTGTGGATGACGTATAACCTATAAAATATATGTCATATGTCACATTTTTTAAATGTCATTGCTACTTAATGCCTACTGGCACAAAATGTCCTACTAACATTAGTAGGTGCCACAAAATCATTGTATCAATCTGCTTCATGTCGTCATGTCGAATCTCCTTTTTCTGGCCTTTTCGCCTTCGTTTGAGAAGCAACACATCCATTACTGTAAGTTCTGTTTGTTACTCAATATATTTATGGAGGGACTGCAATAATTTAGAGCTTGAATAACCACAACTTGGGTAAAGTCCTACTGTATGCACGTTCTTAGAGCCTATTTATTAAAAAAATTGGACCTTTATTTTATTACCTCTTACTTTATCCTGTATACCTATAATTTGGAACACTCTGTATACAAGGTGACTCAGAGTTAAATTTCAATTTTCAAACATACCTCATGGCAGCATCATAGGGGTTGTAAGGGTAGCACTGCTACCGGTAAATAGTAAATGCATCCTGAATATCAAAAAACATTGTGGAGTAGTCGGGAGAAAATACAATACAAGTATAATATTCATTTTTCAGAAAGTTTGTAATGAAAATTGCAGTGATTGCAAAAATGTCACCATGTTAATGTGTTAAGAATTGTTCACTTTAAAGAATGTTGTTCTCTCAACCACTACAACATGTTTACTGATAATACACATGTATTTGCTACATGTTCGTACTGGTATCGCCCGACAAGTTTTTTAGCATATAAACAATGTACGTTTGATATCTGAAATTTACTATCACTCTGTATATATAGGGTATAACTTTAAATGAAGGTGAGTTTTTGGAGGTAATATTAATGTGATGTACAGTTGATCAATCTGAAATGATTGTTTTTAAATCAAATAAATAATAATAAATAGTTATCGAAGTTATCGAGTTTTTAAATTGCACTTAAATTCTTTTGTATGGCTGTACGCCCCTATTGGACAGTACTTGGACCGGTTGTATCAGTGTTGCCAGTTGTTACCTTTTTGAACAAACTGTGTAGATTTTGTAAGACTTTGCAACATGTTAGTTTAACGTCAGCATATTGTTTCTATGTCAAAATTAAGTTGCGAAAGATACAAAATGAAAATTTTTATACAGTGCAAAATATGATTCTTCTAGCAGAAATTGTGCAACCTGTTTTGACCAATAGTTTTGCAGCAGCACATGCTTCATCATTGTTTACATGGTTGGAATATGCAAGTTGACTCTGCACTGGATATGATATGTCAACAGGGATGGTAGACGGAGCAAAAATAGATGACCAATGTTATTTTATTGAAAAAAAGATTCTCAATATGTCGTTGCTTCATTTTATTACATTAATTTTGTTCAGTCTATGCATGATAAAAAATATGTACATATACTGAACAAGAAAGATTTGACAACTATGAATACTAAAATTTGTCTGTCTAATGGTGGGGTAAGAAAAAATAGTTAAAAAAATTCATTACAGAATTTTAGAAATAAAATAATGTATGATGTGCCTAAACGACAAAGGTAGCCTCCATATAAATATTACCCTCATTCAAATTTATACACTGTATATATTTTCAAATATCATTCTATTCAAAATTTTTTTTTTTAGATGATAGAAAATGTGACGAAGAAACAGAGTTCACTTGTGAAGCTAATAAAGACTGGAATCGGGCTCAGTGCATACCAAGAAAATGGCTATGTGATGGAGACCCTGACTGTGTAGATGGCGCCGATGAAAATGCTACGTTGCACAATTGCGCTAGCCCACAGCCTTGTAGTGAGGAACAATTTACTTGTGCTAACGGCAGATGTATTAATAAGGTACAAAAATATTAAATTTATTTTATTTGCCCAAATTACCCGTATCGTATTACCTATTTTTCTAACACGTACTTTTAGGGGTGGCTTTGTGATCACGACAATGATTGTGGAGATGGTACCGACGAAGGAAAGGAATGCAACTCAAAATATAAAACTTGCTCCACCGCAGAATTTACCTGTCAGAATTTCAAATGTATTCGAAATCAATACCGATGCGATGGAGAAGATGATTGCGGTGATCATTCTGACGAGGTTGACTGCAGTAAGATTAGTATATATATTTTTTGTAATATTCGTACTAATTTTGTATAAATTTGTTAGAAAAAGAAAACACGACGTGTGCCATTCCAGGACAATTTAGGTGCAATAACGGCCAATGTATCGACTACCACTTGGTTTGCAATAAAGTATCCGACTGTTCGGATGATTCAGACGAACCTTTGCATTGCAATGTAGATGAATGCGCCAAAGTCGAAATACATCAGTGTGGACACAAATGTATCGATACCCCTACTGGATATTATTGCGAATGCAATCAAGGCTATAAGTAAGTAATTAATAATAACAAAAAATATTTTGAAGCAAAAAACTTAAATACTTTTTTTTTCAAAAAAAAAAATTCTTAAGGCTCATACATTTCCGTCGACCCATCTTTTGTATACTTTTTTTTAATAATTGTCTCTTTACAGGCTATTGGAAGATGGCAAAGCATGTTCGGATGTAGACGAATGTATCGAAAAACCTGGAGTTTGTTCGCAATACTGTTCAAACACTCCCGGAAGTTATTACTGCAAATGTAACGATCAGTTTTATGAACGGGAAACGGATGAGCACACCTGCAAACGTAAAGACAAAGTTGAGCCGTGGATTATATTTACGAACAAGTATTACATAAGGAACATGTCCGTAGATGCCCATGTTTATAATTTGGTTCACCAAGACTTGATGAATGTCGTCGCGTTGGATTATGACATGATGGAACAGAAATTATACTTCTGCGACGTAACCGCAAAAACCATATATAGAAGTAAAATTGGTGGTGGTGAAAAAGAACCTGTTGTCCGTCACGATTCGCACGGTTTAGAAGGTATCTCAATTGACTGGATAGGACGGAAGCTGTACTGGTTGGACAGACACTCTAAGAATCTTGATGTTGCGGAGCTGAATGGTACAAATCGCAAGACCCTTAAAACTAGCATACCCGATCCGAGAGCCCTCGTTGTTCACCCGGGAACCGGTTATTTATATTTCACTTCGTGGCACTTACAAGCTTATATAGGAAAACTGGGAATGGACGGTTCAAATTTCACTAGAATCCTTAACTGGCAAGACGACATAGCCTGGCCCAACGCTTTAACGATAGACTTCTTCACGGATCGTTTATATTGGGCTGACGCACATTTGGACTACATAGCGTTCTCCGACTTGGAAGGAAGACATCGCCATATAGTAATTTCAGGGAATGCAGTACCGCACGTGTTCGCTCTTTCGCTGTTTGATGATTACATCTATTGGACGGATTGGAACTTAAAAGCTATTAGCAAGGCGAATAAGTTTAATGGAAAAAATTTACAAGTTTTACGCAATACTACGCACAAACCTTACGATATTCACGTATTCCATCCGCTGAGACAACTTCCGTATAACAATCCGTGTAGTATTAATAACGGTAATTGTTCACATTTGTGTTTGATTGCCCCGCCACTCGCTTCTAGTTACTTAAATATTGACGGTTATGGTGAGGAAGGCCAAACCACTTACAAATGTGCTTGTCCAAATCAGTTCTACTTGGCGCTCGATGGAAGAACTTGTATAGCTAATTGCACGGCAGGACAGTGGCAATGTAAAGGAAATGATGAAAAATGTATACCGTGGTTCTGGCAGTAAGTATTTTTTTACTAATTAGTTAAAGTTGTATATATAAGATGTATTAATTCTTGATATATTTTCGTTTATTTCGATAATTTGATTGTTTTTTATATTATTTATTTAATTTTTCTTCAATTAAAGTCGAAAAATGAAGCACAGTTTGCACCCTTGCACGAATTATTTACACTTTTTATTTCAAATAAATTAATAATTAATAGAGAGTTGCTAATATAATTTTTCAAAACTTAATTTCCAAAAAAATCATTTTGAGGTTATAGTTTTCAAATACGAGTCTTTTAAAGGTCTATTCAAGCTTCATTTGTTTTTTACTTATGTCAATGACTTGCTCTGTGTTTTTCATGGCCAAAAATTGGTAATTTTTATGATTTTTTAAGAAAATCTGGAATTTTTTAATGATTAAAAACAAAATTCGTAATACATAAAAAAAACCAGCTTTTGCTCATATCGAAGTATGAACTTTTTTAAAGTTAAAGTTAAGGCAAGTGTATGTAGATTAATAAAACTAAAATAAACTACGAAAGTTACAACGCTTTCCTCTTCATTCAATAACTTCTGTAATGACTTGAACAAAATAACAAAATCTTGTCACATATCCTAGAAGCACTATAAGCCTCTATACAAACAAAGGAGAAATAGTGCAAATGTGTGTTGTAAATGACGTACATGATGAAACCTGTCTAATGTAAACGGTACAAATGCTGAATAGACGTTCTCCTCTACAATTCCAGTCACCATCACGTCTTCATCACATCTCCTTTGTCTGCGCCCAAGCTAACATGGCTCGAAATATAGTCCATCAAAACAATTGTCCTGATATTGCCAATGAAAAGTTGGACCTTATATCATCAGCTGCTGCGCTCATTTAACTTCTGTGACTTGTTTTTTGACATATGACCCTTGTAATGCAAACAAATCATAAGAAAATGGTTCATTATTATAAAAAAAATACAATGAAAACTGTTTTTTTAAACATTTTCAACCATTCTGTATCTCTGACGCTATATGAGTTAGGATGAAAGTAAGAGCTCTGTTATATGAACTTTCTTGGATAAAAATTGATTGATGATATTATCATTATTTTTTTTATATAATCCATAGTTGTAGAGCTATAAATGTATATTTTTTAAATGATTTTGCTATGGCGGCTGTCAGGTGACGTAAGTCACGCACCGCTTCACCTAAAAATTATTTTTAATTTTATAATTTAGGTATAATTCTATATTGAAAATGTATTGTGTTTGTTTGTTTAATACGCAGAAATAAACAGAATAGTTGCGCGGTGAACACTTTCTGAAAAAACATTGCCTTCGTTGAGCGCGAACATCAACTTTGGACCATATAGTATACGCAAATGACGTGACATGAGGCAGATTGAAGTCAGTCTGTATTCTGCTCCTTTTCATAGTGTTGTTTATGGCGGCTGTCATGGCAACCAGGCGGTCAATACGTAATTAAACTACGGCATGGGGGAACAAGTGACGCAGAAATTGAAGCAGCATCGCTGATCACTCATCACTTGCCTTTAACAGTTTATACGATATGTGTCGCCCAGTGCACGATTATAACGGATCTTTGTTAATATTTGTTTTGTATAATAATTGTAGAAATATTTCCAGTATGTATTTTATTGAAACGTCATTTTCCAGTTTCGGAATGAATGGTATTCGGAGTATAAGTGGTTGTGTGGAAGTGTTTATTTAAAAAAACTTTTCTGTAAGCCGTGTTTAATTGTGGGTGTAAAGTCGGGCGTGTGGAATTAGAAGGGATTTAACAATTTTGGGAACGTCACGCGAGGTTGTCGTAACCACAAGTTCCACAAGCTGAACTAACATTTCTATTTTTTATAAAATCTAAATGAAATTTCTTCTCACGAACGTCAGTTTTTCGGTAATATTGCAAATGCAACTAAAAATTTCCAGATTAATTTAAAGCCATTTGACCCAGAAAATTTTCGCCAGCGGCGCTTTTTTTTTTTCTTTTTAGTCATCAATCAATGAATATGCTTTACCTATTTTCAATGTCATGAGCCGCCACTGTTTTGCTATGGTCTTATGTTACAGAAACATAAAGTATTTATTAAATGACAACATCGATGATAACGTACTGATTCGCCAGAGGTAAGGGTTAATCTCTGTGCTAGATGCAGAATCATGAAAAAAGTTACAATTTTCATTAAATAGGTTGTGCCATTCTGTAGTTATGCTGTGTATTGCGGGAAAAATGCATTTTGAGATAACTGACTATAAAAAATAAATGCATAAAAAAAGCCCATTCAAGATTTTACCTAATCTAAAACTTTCAATAGGAGTTTATCAGAACCTCAGTCTACATATCGTCTAATATACCATCAGCGTAAAAGTAATTTTCAAAGAGTTATAGGCTTACATTGATTTATTTTACGATTACACGATTTTGCCATGGCGTAGCAGAGTTGTCTTATTTGCAGTATAGATGAGGTTGCCAAAAACGGTCAAATATAGTTTAAGTGAAAAAATAAGTACTGAAAGTAATTGTTATTAATTAATTGTTTGATCTTTAGAAAAAAACATTAAATAAAATATGAGAAATAACTGAGGTGTTATACGAGTATATCATTAGAAAGAAGAGAAAAAATGCTTTTCATAGCAAGCAATAATTATCATTTAAATAAATTAGTGTCATAGATCCATGGAATCCACTGAAAAACTAGTATCATCAATCAATTCTGCATGGAAAAGTTTATGTAACACAATTATATTTTAATTCTAAGATATACAGAGGTGTTCCAAATTATATAAAAAGTGAATATTTTCCTGTAACTTTACAACAAATAAAGCTACAAAATTATTTATTTGACAGTTGAACTTGTCCCGAAAATTGCTCCTGAGAATATACCATAAATAATCGTTTTCATTTACAGATGTGATGGAGAAAGAGATTGTAAAGACGGGTCAGACGAGCCTACAACCTGCCCTCCCAGACAATGTAGAGCGGGAACATTCCAGTGTAAGAACGGAAATTGTACTCCTTCTGCTACAATATGCGACGGTATCGATGACTGTGGAGATAACTCAGATGAACAGAACTGTGATAAAGAATGCCCTGAATTAGAAATGAAGTGCCGTTCAAACGGACGGTGCATCTTAAACAGCTGGAAATGTGATGGAGACGCTGACTGCAAAGATGGTTCAGACGAAGATCCTGAAATTTGTCACAAGCGTGCATGTGACCCGGATACTGAATTCTCATGTAAAAATGGTCGCTGCATACCTAAACTATGGATGTGTGATTTTGACAATGACTGCGGGGATGACTCGGACGAACCAGCTTATATGTGCAGGCAGAAGAATTGTACGACCGGCTGGCAGCGTTGCCCCGGAAGAGCTAATTACAGGTGCATACCGAAATGGCTGTTCTGTGACGGTAAAGATGATTGTCGAGACAATTCCGACGAATTGCCAGAGAATTGCCCACAGTGCAATACTGAAACGGACTTCAAGTGCAAAAATAACCGTTGCGTACCGAAGCAGTGGAGATGTGACTTCTCCGACGACTGTGGGGATGGGTCGGACGAGTTAGAGGAAGATTGTAAAGGTGCCTACAGAGAGTGTTCAGAATCAGAATTCCGTTGTGCAAACGGCAAGTGCATATCATCGCGTTGGCGCTGTGATCACGAAGACGACTGTGGAGATAACTCTGACGAAAGTGGATGCAGCGGATTCCAGTGTAAAAATGGTACATTCCAATGTGCCTCTGGACACTGTATCGCGTCATACTTCCGTTGTGACGGCGATCGTGACTGTAGAGACATGTCAGATGAAAAGAACTGCCCTCCCAGATATCCAGGTGGTAAATATTGCCCGGAATCCAAATTCCAATGTGACAATCACTTATGCATAAGTCAAGCAGATCTTTGTGACGGAGCGGACGACTGCGGTGACGGTTCTGATGAGTCTCCTGCGTTATGCACAAACTTCAACTGTGATACATTGAAGAGATTCCAATGTGCCAATCATAAATGTATACCTCGTTATCAACTATGTGACGGAATCGACAACTGTGGTGATGGATCGGACGAAAATAATATGACGCTGTGCGCAACCAAAATAAAACCATGCAATTCGTTGACCGAATACAAATGTGCCAACAAAAAATGTATCGACAGAAAGCAAGTGTGCGATTTTGCAGACGATTGTGGTGACAGCTCTGATGAGTTAGGCTGTCATCATAATAACGTTTGTTCGGAAGATACCAAAGGAGGTTGCGAACACCACTGCATGAATCTAACAGACGGTGGATACATTTGCGCTTGTTATTCAGGATTTATTATATCCAAAGAAAATCGTAAGGTATGTTTAGATGTGGATGAGTGCGCCACGGGTGCTCATCACTGTTCCCAAATATGTACCAACTTGAACGGAACATATGCTTGCTCGTGTCTCGATGGATTTAAATTGTCGGATAATTTGTCCGGAGTTTGTAAATCTGAAAGGGAAGATGTTGCTTTACTATTTGCCAATGGCCCAGAGATTAGGTCGATAGATCTGAAAGACAGGGACGAAATTGGAGTGATTATGGAAGAAAAGAGGATTGAAGCTGTGGACTATAATCCCAACACAGAAATGATATATTGGGCGGACAGTTACGATAAAACGATAAAACGTTCATTTATGATCGACGCAAAGGACGGAAAAGTAAAAGCTGGGTACGCGCAAGACCTGAAAATGAAAGGAAACTCAAAACCGACCGCGTTGGCGGTTGATTGGATAAGTAATCATCTGTACTGGACGGAAACCGATCGTGCCGGCTCTAAACCTAAAGGCAGAGTTATGGTTGCCGAATCCGACGGTAGATACCGTAGGTCGCTTGTTAATGTCGGCCTTGAAAATCCCACGTCAATTGTAGTGGATCCTCAGTTAGGCAGAATGTTCTGGACCGATGCCGGTTCTGCTCCAAAGATTGAGGTAGCTTGGATGGACGGATCGAAACGTAGGCCACTTGTTACAGAAGAAATCCGTCATCCCACCGGGTTGGCGATCGATTATGCAATGGGCCATACACTGTATTGGGTTGATACGAAGCTGAACAATATTGAGACCATGAACTATGACGGCCGTAATCGTAGGACGTTAATAAGAGGAGGGATGATTAAACATCCTATTTCTTTAGACGTATTTGAATCCAATCTGTACTGGGTCACGAAGGACACTGGAGAGTTAGTAAAGCAGGATAAGTTTGGTCGGGGAGTCCCAGTAACCATTCAGAAAGATTTATTGAATCCTTCGAGTGTTAAAGGTAATAATTTTTTTTGGAATACGTTAAAAATATTTGCTGAAAATGTATTATTTACCATGCAATTTTTTTTTTTTTTAGTTTATCACGATCTTCGATACAACAAATCTTTATCGAATCCATGCAGCAACCACCACTGTTCCCATTTGTGTCTGATAATTCCAAATGGTCACAGATGTTCTTGCCCAGATTCTTCTGCGCCCAGCCACAAAGTGAAAGCCGATATCGTCTGCGATGCCGCGGCTGAACGCGAGAGGCCAGAACCTAGAATTTGCGAATGCCAAAATGGAGGCATATGTAGAGAATCCGATGAAAATAATGATTTAACGTGTGACTGTTTGCCTAATTATCATGGACAATTCTGTGATATTCACACTGCACATAGTAGGGCGGGAGATGAGGCGAACACCACAGCTATCGTTGTTCCCATCGTTGTTATACTGTTAGTTTTGGGTGCAGCAACGGGAGTTTGGTTCTTCATAAGAAAACGACCTTTGTAAGTGTTTTAATTGTTTAAATTATAATTATTATAACACCCATTTCTGGTTTATCCGTAATCTCAAAAGTATAACTTGCATCAGTCAGTTTCTTTAGGTTTTTCAAAAATATTTTTACCAATTTTTAAAAAATTTTTATAACACGAGGCGGTTTTTCAGAATTCAGAACTCACTACTGCTGATTCTAACCTCTTATGTTTTCTACTGTCATTTATTCCATAAACAGAACATTAACAGGAATCTTGGGAATAGCAACCATCACAGACGCAGGCTGGAATTTGGATGGGTGACCTAAGGCAGGCTCGGGGACGTGGCTGTGGCAGCCTACCAGAGACCTTGGTCACCCAACATTTGCCGCATACGTGTCCCCGATAAATGGTAATGAGAACAGAGCAAAGAAAATCTCTGTAACTCAAGACCATGCTATCATACATAAACTGTACGAGACTTTGCCACCAAGCCACCCATGTAGTAAATAGGATGGTTTGAAGAAAAGTACTCGAGTAATGAAGGAGGGTGTACAAGGGGCCTAATAAGACCTAAGTGCAGCGGTGGAAAAACAATTCCACCACCCTCCGACATACATACATCTTGGGAATAACGTGCTATTTGGGATATGTTAATAATGATATATTATTAGTTATTCTGCAGTAATATTTCGAATTTTAATATTTTTTTAGTGGAAAAGGCTCCGGATTAGGAAGCATTGCCAGCAGTCAGAGTGTATCCTTCAGACAAGGAACAAATGTGGAATTTGGAGCAAATACATTCAATGCCAACGGGGGAGGTGGAGCTCCTGAACCACTTGACGTAGCGTATAGTCTGGATTCAGTTGGTAACAAAAATAGAGATTTCCATAATCCTATGTATGATGCTGTCCAGAATAATCCCGACGCCATTGGAAATGGAAGTTCTGGTACGTCTGATTGAATATGTCTTGCTTGGTGAAAATATAGTATACAGAGTGTACCAATGTTCTATGCACATGGACAAACTCTCATTGTCAAAATATGATCTTCCTCCAAGTTTTGTTTAGTTAAAGCAGACGTCAAAAGTTGTCAAAAAAATTAGTTTTTTCTAAATAACTAAAATGCCTGACTTAAATTTGGTTTGTTAGTGGGTACTTGTACTACTAGTTTTTGATATAGTACCAAAGGTTATCACAATAATTAAAAAAATAAGAAAAATAACCCCAACTTTAAGCATATTTCTATTTTTTTGCTGGTGACTTTAAATCTTGAAGCTTTATTTTATGACAAAGATAAGAACTTTTTTAGTTTTTTCTTTCTAGTTTTTTGTTTTTGCAATTGGTCTTTGAATATATTTAATTATTTTATTGGTCATCACCACATATTTTAGTTAAAAATTTATAATAAAAACAAAACGATACTTTCTGGAGTTTATAAACTGAATAAAATGTTCATCCACAAAAATTATTAGAAATCAATTCAATGTTTTTCATTCTGAAAAATATGAACAGTAGTTCCTCATTTAATTTAATTTAATGACCATCGAGAGAAACCTGATTTTAACAAATTTATGTGTTATGAAAATGGTTTGATAACACAGGTCGACAAAATTTTACAAAAGTCCAGAACCAGAGACCGGATCACGTGTACCCGAAGAATTCTGGTGCGCTGATTACGAATCCGAGCTCAGAATTGACCCATCACCCTAGGTTCTCGAGATATTCTAACCTCAAAATGGAAAGATCACGGTTTTTCTCTATATTTGGGGTCAGATTACAACGTAAACTAATTTTTTTTTCTAAAATCTCGTTAAACCATCTCAAAGTACCACTCTTACCCTTCTAAGCGCACTTCGATTTTTTTGAAATTTTTTTTTTTCCATAGAGATATGATAGATTGAAGTTTAGTACTTCAGCAATTTCGTTACAACATGGAAGTAAATTAAATTTATCCAAAAAGAGTCCCTGCTCCATAACCTCAATATTTCAAGATTTTCTAACCTAAAATTGTATACTATATGAAGCAGATACCTATGTATACACCCTGTTACATTCGCATGCTAAGTTCATGACATATGTTCATCATAATGCGCTTTAACCTAAGACACGTTAACCTAAATGCTCAATAACCAGCAAGAATTAAACCCACGACAGGTTAATCTAAATTTTCCATGTTCAATCTATCATATCTCTATGGAAAAAAAAGATTTTCAAAAATGAAGTGCACTTAGAAGGGTAAGAGTGGTACTTTGAGATGGTTAAATGCAAATTAAGAAAAAAAAATTAATTCACGTTGTGATCTGACCCCGAATATAGCAAAAAAAACGCGATTTTTGCACTTTTGGGTTAGAATATCTTGAGAACCTAGGGTGATGGGACTAATGGGCCAATTCTGAGCTCGGATTCGTAATCAGCGCACCAAAATCATTCGGGTACACTAGGTCCAGTTTCTTGTTCTGAAAATTGTCGGCCTGTGTAATTTTCGTGAAAGTATATTCAATTACAAGTTTCTGAACAAAGTATTGTCCTATTGTTATTATAATAGTGAAATATTTGACGTCGATTAAATCCGATTTGTATCGAAAATGTATTAATAAAGCAATTAATAAAATTATAAAACACTGTATGTGTTGATATAAACAAAATATATACCTTCAAATTGAATCAGTCGCTAAAAGTAACACATTTTATAATTATAATTAATTTAGTTATGTGTTTTTCAGCGCTGTATGAAGTACCTTCCGAGATCGGGAAAAATAAAGGCGAAACATTTATAGAACCCCCTAGTGCGGTCATTGCACCTTCGAGTGTAACACACAGGTCGTCACCGCAAGTACAAGTGAAGCACCGTGAATTAGACCCGGCAGCACAAGACACAGGGAAAGATACCCAAAAGTTAGTTGAAGAAGACTGCTGATACAAAGTAAAAATTCCAATATTGCAAATGAATATTAACTTTAGATAATGGTACTACCAGGTCAAAGAATTTTAAAGTGACTCGAAATTTATCAAAAAAATATGTATTAGTCACTAAAATAATTTATTGTTTTTATCAAGGTACATTTTTTAACGATATTTGAAATTTAAAATTTTTTTAAAATGACACTTGAAATGAAGCATATATTTTTATATTGTTGCAAGGATTTAGTTCATTCAAATAGACTAGCCCAATTATTCATACCTTTGAAAAATTTGGTGTTATATAAATAACTAAAGTGCCATTGATACATAAAAATAAATTATACGAAATGATTGCGCTAGTTTAGTTCGATGAACAGATTGCAGAAGTGGTTTAATATGAGCAACTAAAATAAATCTTCCATTTAAATAAGATTTTTTGTAAATATAGAGTATAATGTAATATAAAATTTTAGTATTATTTAGAACTCGATAGGTAATTTTTATAAAATGAAAAATTAATTTTATATATCAGTTCTTTAATATCTATTACTGATGTGCACCGTCCAATATTGTTACATATTTCCGAAATAAATGTGGTATTGAGTTTAGAATCATAAAAAAGTATTGTTTTAATTAGTTTGAATTTTATTGAATTGTTATTTAATTCATATAATTTTATATAAAAGGAACACAACTGTTGATATGTTGTACATTCGCATTATGGTTATTGTTAAAATGTCCTTTAAACAGGAGACAAAAATTTTCCAGACGAAACGTACTTATACACATTTTAAGAATACCCATAATTTATATATGTAATTTAATTTTGTTGCAAATTATGTATAACTTTGTACATATTCTGGGAGCAATCTGTTTTACAGTAAATAATATAGAGGTTGTTTATTATCTTTGTTTTATTTCGCTCCACTCTATTATTACGCCCTCCCCGTAATCAAATAGATCACATTGGCTTTGAAATAGCACGGGTGCTAAAATTTAGCAGACGATGGTTTTCTAATATAAAAATAAACTGGGTTTAATATCAAGGACGTTTTACATTTTTGTAACCGACACAAGTAGTTATTTTTGTATCTAGAACGCGAAATGGTACTTCTGCGTTCAAGAATGGAAGTTATACACGGTTGGAAAATCCACATGGTCCATCTGCCTTTACATGAGAGCGACAAAGTAAAGAAATCCGTGCGATAAACACTTCTAACCCGAAACGGGCAGTGACTATTCAGATTATGATACATCTTCACCCAGGGCCGGCCCCAGGGTATTTGGCACCTGAAGCAAATATTTGCTAGCCGCCTGTTGGAATAGCAAATTTATTAATAAAAAGTTATAAAAAACATTTCAATAGACAAAAATAAATAAAAAATATTTTAGCAAAAAAACAAAAAGAAATTATAAGAAACATAATAAAACATATATTCCAATAAAAACAAAAATAAAAAATATTCAATAAAAACAAAAAAGAAACTAAATAATGTCAAAACGGGATCTTTACGCTTATCACATATCAACTTTTCTACATTTTTCATTAACAACGTCTTCAATAATATCAGCATAAACCAAATTATTTGTTATATCTTTCTCGATAGCAAGATTGGCTAAGTCTGTTAACCATTCCTGTGCCATGGTTGATTGTAACTGCCAGCCCTGTCTTCACCATAGCCATCCTTGTCTATAGCACGAATTTCTTTACTTAACTTTGTCGCTCTCATATAAAGACAAATGGACCATGTGGATTTTCCAGCCATGTATATAGATTACGGTGGTCCAAAAAAAATAATTTTTTTTTTTCGTGTCTCTTGTGAAAATATGTTAGTTTATCATGTTTTACGAGCCTCCTCAAAAAATCAGCTCAAAAAAATTTTTTTAAAGATCGTATGATTTCGAAAAATTTCCAAAATCATTGAAAAAAATCTCGATTCTGAAAATTTCAAATCGATATTTTAACTTCTAAAGGTCACTCATAATTATTTTAACTTTAAAAATAGTGTACCTAAAATGTTTTCGAGCGACCTCTAAAAATAAATATCAACGAACTAATAATTTTTTTTATTGAATTTGGCAAAATTTACTACCGCACTGTAAGTATCAAATATTTATAATTTTTTAAAATTTAAGTGTCTCGTGATTTATTTCTATTTTGTTGATCAAATTCATTAAAAAAAAATTATTAGTTCGTTGATATTTATTTTAAGAGGTTGCTCGAAAACATTTTAAATACACTACTTTGAAAGTTAAAATAATTATGAGTGACCTTTAGAAATTAAAATATCGATTTGAAATTTTCAGAATCGAGATTTTTTTCAACCTAGAAAATGATAAAATAACGAGAAAAAAATTTAAAAAAAAATCCTATTTTTGACGATTTTGGAAATTCTTAAAAATATTGAGCGACCTCTAAAAAAATTTTTTTCGAGCTGATTTTTTGAGGGGGATCTTAAAACGTGTTAAACTAACATATTTTCACAAGACGAAAAAAAATATTCGTTTTTTTTTGGTCCACCCTAATATAGATATCCATTGGAGAACGCAAAAGCATTTCGCATTCGAGATGCAAACAATATTTTTTCGAAAACTGCAATAAAATAAGACAAATCTGTTATATACAATAATTTAATTTATATTTGAAATCGTTTGAATTGTGTTTGAATCAAGATGGTTTAGGCGCGGTGACAATCATAACGATAGCAACCTAATATAGTACATTGTGTAACGAGTGGGGAAAAGTTGCCAATAGCACCACGAGGACGCAGTTGACGAACGAGCGAAGCGAGTGCGGAAAGCGCCCAAGTGGCGCTATGGCAACTTTTCCGAACGAGTTGCACATACTATTTTCTATCACAAATGCGAGTCGTTATGGGACCTATAGCATAGGGGATTAGAGCGTTGCGATGTGAAAATAACATCACGCTGTTGTACTATCTAGCACTTTCCGTGCACCTAACACCCTATACTATAGGTCCCATAGCGAGCGCGCGTGATAGAAAATAATAAAAATTAGTTGTTTGAAAAAGCAGTGTAAGAATTACATATTGCAATTCATATTCTAAGAGTGTGTAATTCAAAATGTGCTGGGAAAGTGAAGACGAGCAATTACCAGGGAAAGTATTGGAAGCGGCACAAAGTGCTGCTTCACAATTAATTAATCCCCAAAAAATCGTCGAGACAGTACGAGATTGAAAATTCAAAAAGTGTCCGAAGCGGAATTACTGGCATATTTCAAACATAAAATTAATAAAATTAAACTTTCGACGTTATGATCAGTAGATTCCATATTAAGAAGTACACTGAATGCCAAAAAAATACAGAAAATTTACAAAATTAATACCATATTTGAAAAGCAAGTAGTTAGATACCGTCAGAAAAAGTCCAAAATTCTAACAAGAGGAACAAGAGGAAATTGAAGGATTTTTACAAGAAGCACCATAGGTTGTTTTAATAAATTGGTGTTTGTGGACTGTAGAGCTTTGAGAAGAGATGAGCTACTAAAAATAACGATCGATGATATAGACGACAAAGATTTAATTATTATTATAAGAATTCCCGATTTTTGTGATTTCAATTCCAGACCAAATGAAGATATACCGCAAATACTATGCTTTAAATCCGGCAGTTATTACAAGTCGATGATTTTTTGTGAAGTATGTCGGAGGTAAATGTATTAACCAAGTGGTTGGTATCAACAAAATAAGGAATGTGCCAGAAGAAATAACAACTTATCTCAATTGGAATTTTATACAGGGCACTGCTTTAGACGTTTTTCCACCACTCTATTAGCTGCCGCAGGGGCCGATATTACCAGTATTAAATGACGTCGGGGGTGGTGTTCTAGTACAGTGGCAGAGACATATATAGAAGATTCTATACAAAATAAAATTTCAATCGCAAATAAATTGATACAATCTTCAGCGTAGTCTACAGAACTTGCCAATAATAAAACATGCACAATAAACTTAAACAATTACATCAGCAGTCTCATTGAACACCCAGAACTAAAAGCTATGGATCTGGCATAGCATTAACTCTGCAATATCGGCACTTTCAATTTACGTGTAATGCAAAATAAGTTGTAATAGTCCTGTTTATAATAGTTAGTTAAATGTATATTGTTTAATTAATAGGTGACAAGAAATACTCTGTCAACTGAAAATTTAATAAAAATGTCGACTTTTGATGAGTTTTTGGAAAAAAAAATTACAACCCAAATATCAATTTACTAACAAAGAATAAGTCTTTTTTTACTTTTTAGCAAAAATTTCTATAAACATGTGGCCACAAACACATCATTTTTGAAAAACAGGGTGTATAATAACCATTAGAATTGGTTATTTTGAATTATGATTTTTAGTTTTGACCGGCCCCACGTTGGGCGCCAAAAATTGTATGTGTGGGATAATGTATGTGATTAAAAATTATGTTACTGAAATAATAATTTGTTATTTATGCACTTTGTATGTTGTTCTGAAAATGTAGTAAACTACTCTTTTCTCAGAAACGAGTTCTATTCCAACAGACAAAACTATCAATTTAATTGAATTTAATTTCACTTGGTTTTTACTGATTTCACTGTCCTTCCAGTACTATCAGAATTTATTGCTAGTAATTTATTTGTTAGTTAATTTAAATTTGTTTTTTTTTTCGAAAAGTAACAATATTTTTGCATTTTTACAATTTATTTTATATGAACAAATTTGAAAATCTATAAATTTTCATTTCAAAAGCCTACTTACCTCAATGATTTTGCGGGGAGTGGATGGAACACAGAAAAAAAGACGGATAGTAAGGGCAGAAGATGTAAACTAGTCCAAAGTCACATGATTTGAGTATTTGCCGATCAACGGTGCATTTCATTTAAATTACATTTCAAATTACATGTGAAAAGAAATAAGAATGCAGAAATGCAGAATCCTAGATCCTGTGACCAACGGCAGTCATCATAGTGGGACAATTTCAAAGTTAAGAAAAGCAGCTCAAGGTTCAATTCCATGCAGACGTTGAGATGCCCAGATGCTGAAACAAACTTCCCCTCTATATGCTTTTGTAACAGTAACAATGGTTGAAGCTAATTTCGTATTGTGGTGTCGACACTGAAAAGTTCAAACTGAACCAACTATCCTGCATCGTAGCGTCTGTTGCCATACAGCCGGTCAGTTTGAATTATTGTGCAGTAAATATATTTATTTGTTGTTACAATTAATTACTAAATATGTCCGAAGGTACAGTAAATGACTTTGGGAAAAATATATTAGAAGCATTGGTACTGACATCTGGATACACTGGAAATGTTTTGTCCTTTTGAAAAGATGAAGAGACACATCTAGATCTTAATACCGAACGCTACTATTATATTATTTGTAGGTTATGTTTTCCAAACTATTTCACCCACGTTTCCGATTTTTCATTATTTATTACTTATATCAGTTGCACGAAAACTATCTGAAGAAGTCACAATGCAAATACACACAGTACAGACGATACAGTAAACAACCAGCGTCCGAACGCCTCGGCATCGCGACCACAGATACAAAAGAATGTATACAGGGGCAGTTCTTTTCAGCGTCTCTGTGTTTGCATAAAATTGCGCCTTTAGACTCTATGAGTTGCACCAACCTCTAGCTATAAAAATAACTTTTTGCAAATATAAGTTAATTTACTTTGATTGCTTAGTACCAACTGGCACAAAGCATACGAACCAGAACTAAGAAGTGTCTATGTCTGGTGACTCTACTAACGAATTATCTTATTTATTCCAGATGCAAGTCACTGCAGGGCTGAGCTTTAGTCTGCAAAGTAGTTGTCTCGCACAATATCATTAGTATTAGTAAATGAAAAGCTGCTAACAACAATAACTTTGATTTTATTTGTGGAATATATGCTGAATTTTCAGGATCTAAACAACTGCGTTTCTTTTATAACAAACAATTCATAGTACGTGCTTAATCTCAGATTTTATCTTTTGTTTCTAGTAGTAGCTTAATTCAGTTATCTTCGTTACTATCATTACTTGTACTTTTGAAGGAATATGGCGTGGAATTCTGCAAATTTATCAAGCATAGCCTTTAGTTTGTCGGGTTGTGGCAAAATTGTTGTACGGAAGTGGTACGTTCCTGGTTGCTGTCCAAATCCAGAACCGGGAACGATGCAAATGCCGGTTGCCTCCAATAATTCGAAGGCGTAAAATGCATCGGGCTCTTTACCAGCTTTTTTAGCTGCTTCGATTGCCTTTGGCGGTAACTTCATTTGAGGGAAAGCATACATCGCGCCCTGCACTGGATTACAACTAAATCCCTCGATCGAGTTAAATGTCTCAGCTACCATTTTAGCTCTTAACTGAAAATACAATAAAATTATTGTGTTTTACTTTGAAATTCATACATATTTACAGTAATTTTATCATAGAAAAATAACTTACCTTTAGAGAGCTCAAAACATCAGTCTTTTCTTTTATATATAGATCATAGCTGGGTTCACCTTTAGTAGGTACATTCATAACTGTATCCAAACAGGCTTGACCAAGAACCGTTGGACACAACATGGCACTGATGGCCTTTAAGTACATGGCTTTCACTTTTGGGTCCATGTTAATGACTTCAGCGTAACCTCCCCGAAGACCGCATTCACCCATATACCCTTTTGAACAGGACATAAAGCTGGCCAGTTCCATGTTACTGTATGGTTCGCCCATTTCTGTCAATACCTGAAATTAATATGGGAAATTATGAGCACTTTATTTTCAATATAGTTTCAATGTAGTTGTTATTTGTCTTTACCTTTTTAAAGGAATGGAACTTGGAGCCTTCCGCGTATATGTTGTCTTGATATACTTCGTCAGCAAACAGGAATAGTTTCTCCTTATATGCAAATTTAATTATCTCTTCGATGTTGTCTCTCGACAAGACTTGTCCCGTGGGATTTCCAGGATTTATTACAACAATAGCTCGCGGGTTGCTTACTTTCCTAGCTTCGTTAATCGCTCTCTATCAAAAAAACTATTTTACTATAATTCCTTTGGTTTCTTAAAATAGTATGAACCTGTAATTCGGCAATGTCCAATCCCCACTTACGAGACTCGTCTAGGAAATACCCGATCTGGTGCATATTAAATTCAGCTAAAGACGCCGAATACAGGGGATATTGGGGAATGGGAACCATAACTCCTGGTTTCTTGCCGTTAACGCTGCATATAAGGAGTTTCAAAACGTTCTTTATTGCATCACTTGCTCCTAAAAATTAAAAAATGATTATTACATATTGAAAAACAAATAGAAATATTTTATGTAGAGTTTAAAACGCAATTTTCTCAACTCATATATAATTTTATGCTTAACGTAATTCAAAATGAACTAAAATAGCAAATTATTAATTATTTTTTTAGTTGTTTCCAAATATAACACGTGCATTCTATTCAAAATTGACACTATCACATGAAATGGCATTTTTCAGTTAAAAGTTTTTTAAGTTATCACTTTTAATTTTTTTTTTTAATTTGCAATTCATATCAACTTCATTAATTTAGTTACTTTAGTAATTAAGAAAATCACAACTGATATTTTTAATTTTGTCCCAAGGGACAAAAATGGCATTTTGAACTATTTCATTTTGTAATTCAGATATCTACAATAAACATGCGTATATGTATATTCAAATATATATGTCTTCGTTCAAATGTAAATACCTACTATATAAAATATTCAATAGAAAAACATTTGCTTCCCATGTCATCAGTGTGATATTTTTTGTTAGTTAAAAATAATAGATGTACACCAAAAAAAAGTTAAATTATAATATAATGATATGCCAACATATTTATTGCAAATACACTCAGAAAAATGTTTCATTGACGTGTAAATAGGAGCTTTGTCATTTTTTTATTCCTAAATATCTAGAATTTTTTAAATTTATTTGTAAAAGCATACCATAGAAATTTTGAAGCTACGACGCCCATGGGATCTAATTTGATAGAGATTCCAACCTTAGCATTAATGGTAAGTTCAAAAACAGTAAATATTTGATAAGGTATCAAGTTATTTAATAATAATAATACATCTGTTTATTGAAATAGGTTGACCCTAATACACCATTCAATATACATGTATCTGACTAAGCCTAAAACACATTAATTACATTATACCCATAACTTACACATATATATATATATATACTATTCTGTTTATTTCTGCG